TATTTCAGTTTAGGGGCTCATGATAGGAGGTTCTGGTGTTGCACAGTCGGCAGCAGGGGAGTCTCCTGTGGAGGAAGAGTGGGGGCCCTCCCAGTAAATCAAGTGATGCTCATAGAACCAGCTGGTCTCCAGAGGCAGTGCTGCATCCTCCCCTGCCTCCCACCACTGGCCTTTCAAAATCTGTAGGTCACAGAATAGTACCAAACTCTGATCAAATTCCTGTTGAGGTATTGTGCTTTGGGAAGCATAGAACCATGTGTTTTGTCATTACAATGGAGATCATAAGACCAAGGATTGCTGTAGGAATGTTTCTTCTTTGAAAAGGAGAGAGCAGCTGTCATTAGTCGTGTGTGGTGCTGCCTCAGGTCTAAGAACAACAAAATTGATTACTTTTTGAGAAATGTGTGTTGGATTTGCATGGCTGTGTTTTTGTAGTGGGGGGCTACAGGGGTGGCTTCAGTGAGAAGCTGCCTGAAGGTTCCCCTGTGTCTGATAGAGCCAATGCCAGTTCCAGGATGGACCCACCACTGGCTGAGGCTGAGCCCTTCAGCAGTGGTGTTTGTGCCTCTGTGTTTTCAAATAATAATGTGTTTTCAGAAGGGGAGAGGGGCTATTGAATGTTATCACTGAAAAAAAAAATAACCCAGCTGCCAAATGATTCAAAAAGGATGAAAAAGTTTAAGTGTGTTAAATTAGCAAGGTAACCTGTTTAAGATTTGTAAAATGAATTAATTTTTGCATGTATTTTCCTAGCTTGCTTGTTTGGAATCAGCAAAAGCAGAAGCTGATGCAGTAAGTCTTTGAGATAATGCCTTGAATATTTTGGGGTAATAAAATACCACAGGGTACACAAGGAATGTTTTCTTCTGACTGTAGCTGTTAACATCATCCAAATGTAGAATCAGCTCTAAACTGCAAATCACCCCAAATTTGAAAAGACAGAAATAATCCCGTGGGATGAGAATGCAGTAATTTTATTTCAGGATTCTGAGGAAGTGGAACTATTAATTTCTATGCCCAGCCAATAGCCTGTCTGCTCAGGATGGGATGGCAGCAGCTCAGGCCCTGCACCTATGGTAAATGTGTTGTGTGTCTTATCATCAGTGTTCTTAAAACATAAAGCTCAGGGCTTAGGTATTGTCCCAAAATGAGAACATAAATAAGTCTTTGTTAGCTGGATGCATAATGTTCACACTTGCAACTCATGATAGAAGAGGATTTGTTTGAAAACACAGCAAAGATGGTGGCATTTCAGATCGTGGTCACATCTTCAGAGTAACTTAGCTTAGTAATTGTCTCTTGTTAAAACAGAACCAGAATGGGTGTTTTTATCTATACCAAAGAAGGTGTATGTACCTCCTATACCTAAAAAACCATGAAGTGATAATGCATCATTTTTGCTGGCATAGTCTGAGCACAGCAGAGGCTGAGAATTTGAATTAAACCCACTTACATTAATTTTTTTAGACAGTTTCCAACTGGAGCAGTATTGTTTGTGCAGCATTACTTTTTATCTTTTTTATCCTTTGTTTTGCAGTCCTTAATTCTCAATCTTAAATCTAGGCCTGTGTAACTGCAGTAGTTGAGAAGATGCTGCCTTACCCCAGGCTGGGTGATGGGTTATGTTTAGGCAGTGCAGTGAAGGATCAGATGGGTGATTTTTTGTTGTATTGACCAGATTGACCAATGAAATTAAATCTGATAAAGATGCTTTTCAGTAAACTTACCCAAGAACTGATGCCTTGTTGCCAAAGCAGTTGAGTATTAAAATGCATTTAGTGTTTTGATTGCTTTGGGTTTTTGTTTTTTTTTGCTTTGGAAAATCAAGCAGTAACACAGTCTAAGAACACAGTACCCAAACTAGTCAGTTAATAAGCTTATTAATCCATAAGAAAGTACAAATAAGTTATGTATAATAATATTTAGATGCTTTGCCTAATTTTGTTAATAAGTCTGTGTTACACCAGAATGTCTTCCTTTAGTCAATTTTTACATGCTAATTACTGAGAAACTGGTTAATAATTCATCATCATGCTTGTATAAACTGCAAAATCAAATTTTACTTTTGTGCCTCTCAAGAATATTAATGCAATAATACCTCAGTTCTTGTGGGAAAAGTCACCAAACACAGCTTCTCTTCTTCAGTTGATCACAACAGAAGTCTGGAGCATAAAGCATTGGGGGAATCTGCTGTGGTTGTCAAGTGAGACCTGACATTGTGGGGAGGATCACTTGGCAGCAGGACATGGAGGGTGCATCCCTAGGTTCTTGTACAGCTCCCCTTGTTGAACTGTTCACTGAAATAGTCATCCTTTCGGTGATTCAAACAGGTTTTTGTCTCATTAAAAGTATTGACTTCTTTGAACAGAACAGATGATTTTTTTTTTGTCTGGTTTTTTTTTGGGTTTGTTTTTTTTTTTTTTTTTTTTTTTTTCAGTTGTAATTCAGAGGTACTTTTGTTGGCAACTCTTAACGTTTGTTCTTTCCAAATCTTATTTAAGGGCTGTGTTTAAATCTTAGTCTTGAAAGCATAGTCCTCAGTGATAGGACTTACTTAATTCATGGTTCTTTTTTAGCAAGAAAAGTGGTGTCAAGAAAATGAGTGTTAAGATCTAGTTCTATAAATCATAAAAAAGTGAGATCAGTAAGAGGAGAACAGACTTCAGCATCTCTACCACTTATTCCTGCAGATAAACCTGCAGGTGAATTGATCTTTATTCAGGGTCTTTCACCACTGCTTTTTGCAGCGCGACTGCATTCTTGTTGGTAAAATGTGCTTACTTGTGTCAAGAGCATTCTGATTTGAAAAGAAATAGAGATCATCCTCTGAGTGGTTTTTTTTGAGAGCTAAATCCTATTTCTATCAGAGTAGAAATGGAGAAGTTGCAGTGACTTAGCTATACCTTTTTCATCATAGCAGCTTTCCAAAAACTATAAGATGCAAATTAACCTACTGATGCTTATCAGATTTGCTGAATCCTTTAACTTTTATTCAGCTTTCACTTTGAAATCACAGGCTGGTGGAAATACTAAACATCTGTGATTTTCCTGGAGAGAGGAAAGTTTTCTGTCAGTTAGAAGAAGGTGCAAAATTAATTGCTTCAAAATCACAGATAGGTAAGTTACAGAAAGTGGCAAAGCTGAATTGTCAGGCTTAGATACAAATACAACTTATCAGGTGCCATGGCTCTTGTTAAATACACATTTACCAAGAGAGTCTTATGTGTTAAAAAAAGATAGAAGTAGACAATTTTAATAAGAAATTTCATCTAGGCATATGACATCTTGTTTAAAATGCTCCATTAGATTGAATGAACAGAGAACAGATTAGTGGGATTAAAAATTCTTTCACTAAGAGATACCAAAGTGTATCACCCTCAAAATGTGTTGAGTGGGATTGTACGTTGTTTCCCAAGGAATCCTTGCTTTCTCCAAAGATCTGTGGTGCTTTTTTAACAGTCTAGATGGTGATACAGAATTTTTGAAGGTGAAGTTTAAAATCCTGAAGACTGACCACCAAAGGGCTGGAATCATCCAAGAGTGGGAATGCAGCTGAATTCCAGGCAAGATGCAGGAGCAAAGAATTATGGTTATACTTATCCATCAGGAGGTCATAATCTAGAAAAGTTTTCAGGTGTCCATATACATGCATTTTTCTGTGTCTCTGTGTGTGTGTGTGTATGTATCTCAGTATAAAACTGTATTGCCTTTATGTAGAAACTCAGAGAAAAGTAGAATGTTAATAATTCTTTATTCTGCATCCAAAGCCGTAAGAACAACTGGAAGCTGAATCAGAACAATTCTGTCTTTAATGTGCTGCAGCATAGGCTATTAAACATCCAGGACTTTCTGTGAGATGTTGGAATCACTGTGGTACTGTGAAATTTTGATTGAAGCCTTCAGATCTGTTTTAACCTCATTACTCTGAAACCTCTGGCCTGTGTTCACAGGCAGCAGGATTTCAGGATCATATTTCCATCCTGAGTATTCTGTGATGCTGAATACTTGCTGGATGTTCTCACTGATTGTTGGATATGTAGCTGTTTAATGTGTAAATCCTCATCTTCTTGAATTTCTCAAGTGTCTTGAAAAATTACTCTATTGTAACTGAAGGGCTAACTCAAAGCATGAACTTTAATCTTCATGAGTGTGGTAACACCTCTTAACCAAGGCCACAGGACTGCTCTCTAGGATCAGCCTGACCTGCTGCAAGCAGGGAATAAGGACATGAGTTCTCCAGAGTCCTGGCTGAGGTGTGCTGTAGTTTTGGAGAGCTCAGTACTGGGTAGGGGGTTTGTCACAGCTAAAGCTTTGTGAACTGCTGCTCTCATGGTATGGGAGGCACACATCAGATGGACTTGTCTGGGGAGATGAGAGTTGTGTGAAGGACTGGGATGTGGTGACCTAACCCATGTCAGTGGGGTTTGGTGGTGGTGTCTGCCAAAAGCTGGCCAGTTGTTTTATAAAAACAGTGTGAAGATATGCAATTGAGAGAACTTGCCAGTTTTTTTCTGTTTCTGCCCTGTTTAACCTGTGGAAAGCCCTGATCCCTTAATGTACATCAGGTAAATGACTCCAGGTGCTTGTGTGGGCAGTTGAGCTCTGACCAGTTGAATGCTTCTTATTTGGTGGGAGTTTGGCTGTGGCTCATCTGTGTAGATTGAATTGAAGAGTTGTCACCTTTGCTTAACAGGTGATAGTCTGAGTTTTCCATGTGGTACAGTTGCTTAAAGCACCAACTCAAACACCATCAGCTGGGACCCTGGCTGCAGTCTCAGAAATCTCTTTTCCAGTCTGTTCTTTTATGGGATCCCAACTTCAGTCTCAGAAGTCTCTTTCCAGTCTATTCTTTTATTTCACACAAATAAGAGAACAGAAATACGCTTTTGAGTAAAGAAATACAGCAAAATTTTAGTCGGTTTCATGCAAAATAAGGGCCTGTTGTGAAGTGGATCTTGAAGTGAATATTAAAAATATATTTTGGCTTTTTGTCTCTGCAGAGTTTACAGATGCTTCCTCAGCAACGGAAAGCCATAGCAAAATTCAAGGAGCCAGCACATGCTTTAGCATTTCAACAGAAATTCCACAGGTAAATAATTAAGCACTGCTGCCACTGTGGTTCCTTCCCTTCTTTCAGAAGATAAAATCAGTCTCCTCTGGCTCGGTGTTTCTTTAATCGAATCAAGCATCTGTTAATTAGTGACCATCATGGAAGCTCCATGCCAGAATCAGTCTGAGCACCACATTTAACTTTCTTTTAACTTTTAACAGGCACATGATAGATCTGTCCCACATCAACGTGGCACTGATTGTGGAGTGACCTCTGCTGAGAGAAGTCCCTGCACCAGCCTCAGTGTACTGTGGAGCTACAGACTCACAGAGGAAAATCCATCGGGTTGGGAACCCTGTCAGCTCAGTCTGTAACTGCTCTGTTGAACTACAGAAAGCACCAAGGTGACCTCCAGGAGAGGTGAATTCGAGAGGAGCTGCAAAGGTGGAATTTCAGTTCAGTTTCTTCACATTCTGTTGTAACCACATGGAATTATAGAGGTTTTTTTGGTTTTTTTTTTTTCCAAATGCTTTTGATGCATGTAGACATTGTTCTTCAGGATCCTACTGTGTGACCACAGTGACTTGAGAGAGAACGGTTTGAAAACAGCGAAAGATTTGAAAAACTTTCAAAGAATAGCAAAGAATATTTGATAATGGTTGCTCTTATCTTCAGTGCAAGGTATTTGAATGAAAACTCATTTTTCTAAACAAATTAGTTGCATTGTGTACCTGAGAGCACAGAAGGTATTCTTGAATAGATTTGAACATGGTCTGCTTCGCTGTATAGCAGTTTGCTGAGAAGCTTTGGAGGTGACACTGGAAAATTGTAGTTTTGATCTTTGTAAATAAGTCTGTGCATTTTTCTGTTCCAACATAGACTTCCATTTTCTCTTTCCAACTCCACTTATTCCATAAAACCCTGTGTAGGAGGACTAACACTGCTGTATTTTCCCTTGGTTTTTAAAAACAAGGATCTTCACCCTTCAGTAGCATTGTGGGGTAGTGAACTCTGAGTTGTAATTAGGTTGTTTTAAATAACTCTGCCAGATGCAAGGAAAAAGAAGTATTTGGTGGGTCACTTCAAAAATGTTATGCAGGAAGAGTGGTGCATTCCTGGTAGTTCTTCTGGGCTAGTGTTTCGTGGTTGCCTCATGTTTTATTTTGATCAGGTTTTTTTCTTTGAGATTTATTTTGTCATTAATGCTGAACCGTAAGAAACCCATAACTGAAGGGCCTTGTTTTGATGTGGTGTTCCTGATACATAAAGGACTATAAGGACATTGTGAATCTCTGATGAATGTGTCAGTTCCCAAAAATGCCATGCAAACATTAAGGAGCTTATATTTTATTCAAAGTAAAATTCGTAATATTTCCTTTTGGTTAGAACCATCCAAACGGGGTTGCCAAAGTAACAATTTTTTCAGTTACTTCTGAATAAACTTATTAAAATGTCATCTTTATATTGGATTCCAGTTTTTATGAACATTTCCCTAGTTTTTAGACCATGATGTTTTGCTTCATACTTTATTTTAGGAATACTCTTAAGCACTCCACCTACTTTTTGAAAGGGGGGACTTGCAGAAATGTAGATATGTTACCTGAGTGACTGCAGAAGAACACTCTGGGTATGAAATAAAAGAGCTGCAAATGGGGTCCAAAATAGGCATGCCAAGCTAGAAGGGATGAGCTAAGGAAATTTATAGTACCTTTTTTTAATAGTATCTTTTTTTTTTTTTTTTTTTAATGATTTAACAGCACAGATACCTAATTGGCTTTCTTCCACTTTTGGTCCAGATTTTCAATTAAGTAAAAGTTACCAAAAATCTAGGTAGACCTGCTCTCTGTTCATTGAAAAAATGTAGAATAATATGGTGCTTAGGAAATATTCTTTAAGTCCATTTAAAATTTAGTGACAAGACACAGTAACAGGATCAGACTCTTTTCATGGAGGCGGGGTTTACACCCACCTGTGTAATTCATGCATAATGTTTAATGACAGCCACAGTTGCTGTACACGAAGTGCTGTTAGTGCTTCAGGACAGAGCCAAGCCCAGGACAGAGCTGCAGGTAGCAAGTGCCCAGTGGGACCAAGCCCAAAGACCTGCAGAGTGACCAGCCCAGGCTGTTTAACTCCTCACACCATTAGCTCTGGGACCCCTACACTGCCTCCTCAGATTATGTCACTTTTATTCTTAAGAAATAACTGCTGATCTTTAAAACAAGGCATTAAACAGTTGCTCGTCCCACTGTTAGGGAGCAGCTTCTCTGCAGTGAGCAGGACAAGGAGACATCTCAGAGTGGAGTTACAGTAGTGCGTGCCTGGAAATCTGGGAGAGAGGCAAACTCCAGACAGGCCAGCAGCTGAGTTCAGCAGTAGGAACATCTGCAGTTGATCAGCTGTTCTGTCAGAAGCAAACATTATTGGGGTTAGAGGGTTTCTTGGAACCTAAGAATATGGGTTTGATTCAAAAGTCAAAGAAGTTTGTAGAAACGCTCCTGCTTTGGGTTTTGAATCCATCCCAAAAAGCCTGAGGTTCAGCCAACTTAAGTTTTAAAAATTTTTATTCAGTTGGGGTTTTAATTTTTTTTTTGAGACAAGTGTGTGGCTTTGGAATAAAGACACGAAATGGCCTCGTATCTATTTAAATGAAGGAGTGACGTGAGCAATGCCTGTTTAATGAGTAGATACATCCTCTTCAACAGCAGTTGCAGGAGATTTATGCTGGTGCCTAGACAGGGTATGGGTGGATTGCTGGGGATTAATTCAGCTGCTTACTGCAGTACCTGGGTACCTTCCTACATGTAAACCTACCATATGTATGTATGTCTATATTTGTTTGATTATACACATACATACATACTCACACCCTGTGTTGTCACCATATCTCTCTAATGTCCAAGAAACCTCAGAAGTAAAAGTAGCAATTAGGTGAGTCGTTTTTCAAAATGTTTGTGTTCTCTTACTTCTCAAATCATAACTTGAAGGTGGATCTGTTGGCATTGATCGGTTTGGATGATACAACTCCTTTAGATCCATTTGTTGTCTCCTCCCAAAAACACCCAAAGGAAATAGAGGTAAAGCTAGACAGACGTGTTCTTGATGTGTTCTCTTCCAGCACAGAGTTAAATCTGAGCATTTTAAGTTAACTTTCTTGGAAGATCTGTTGCAACCATTATCTTGTTCTTTCTTTGTAGTGAATTCACAATACGATGCAAAATGGAAAAAAAAAAAAGAGAAGGCATTTAATGTAGTATGTAAATATTGACCTTTTAAAATTAAAATGCTACTCAGATGCTTACAGTCAACTACATCTTAGCTATTTGTTAGTTTTTTGTGTTGTCTTATCTAAATTTAAATGGATATGGTTCCATAAATGTTGATGTGTTTTTGTGTATATCTTCAAATTTTTATAAAGATGCTAGTAAGTCAATACATATATCCTGATCTGTGTATTATTTGTTCAGTTTTTATTAACATAATTTTATAATTATTTAAATAGGCAACTCCAGTAGGTGGTTATATGAAGTCAGCTTTTTTTTTTTCAAATTATTTCATTTCCATCTTGTACCACTGGAAAATTCACTTTATAACTATTCATATTTTGCCTTGACTAAAATATTGAAGTATCCATATGATCTGTGGTATTTTAGTTTAATGTTCTACCTTTTTTTTTTGTTTTTGTTTTTTTTTTTAATTAAAAAAAAACCTAAAACAACTCTGTCCTTTAACTCTGAGGGGAAACACTGTCAGACCATGGCACGGGGTCTCTCTGGGTTTGCTCCATTGTGCTGTTTGCAGGTACAAATTAGGTCTGTGGTGTAACACTGTCCTCAGAAGTTGGGGCTGTTGTGGTTTCACAGTTTGGGTTTCGCACACCGGGCAGGCTGGTGGCACGCTGGTGCATCCCAGGGTGATCAGTGCCACACCAGCCTGTGGTGTGCTGCTGGGGATGCTCAGGGTCCTTGCTGCAGGCAGGGGGACCAGGACAGGTCTGTAGCATTTCCATAGCCAGAGGGATGCTGTCCTCAGCCCACACCTATCCCCAGTGTGACTTTGGGAAGGAGGAGTGCATACAGGCACCCCCTCTGCATGGTATCCTTGGATATCTAGTTTATCCCCCCCACCCCGTTTAAATCTGAAGATTTGCTTCAGGTTTCTGATTTTCTGTAAAGAAGTCCTTCCAGCCTTTAAAATGCCAAGCAGACTGAGCATTTTAATTCACTAATGTTAGGTTTCCTCTGCAAGGACACAGATGAGAGTAAAACCGAAGGTTATTTCAGAATAACCATGGAGGTCCTCAAAGTTTTGTTTGTTTTTTGTTTTTTTTTTTTTTTTTTTTTTTTAATGTCAGCTACTGGGGATAAGAAACACCTTTTACTTGGTGCTATATTTTTTATCTTTTTTTAAACATAGTATTTTTTATCTGTGTAGCTTGAAATGATGCAGTTTCCCTGGAAGCTGCTGCAGGCACTGCCTGCTGTTTGCACTCATTAACTGCGTGGCTGTGTGTGTGTGGGTGTGCCACCCTTGAACCTGGGGTGAGAGGGAGGTGGGAGGCTCTGGGGTTTCTTTTGAGAGTTTTTTTGGCCTTTGTTGGTTTTTGGTTTTTTGGGTTTTTTTGGTTTTTTTTGGTCTGCTTGGGAGATACCCTGGATTTGTCCTCTGGCATAGTGTTGTGCTTTTCCTGTCCTTTGTGTAGTACTGTGTCTGTGATGTGAGTCAAGGTACTTGAAGGTAGAAATCCGTGTCACCTGTTCACTGTCAAAAAGGCATTTTTTGTTCAGAGAGACATAAACTTTTTTTTTAATGCATTTTTTTGTGCTTTTGTTTTTGTTTCTTTTTTTAGCATCATGATAGATGAGAAATGAAATGTAAAGGAAACAAATCTTGAACAGATTGCAGAAAGTTAGCTGTATTATAAAGGTCATTTAGGGTAACATAGAGCTTTTGTTTCAATGTTACTTTAAATCATGCCTTGTCCTCTAATTAATTCATAAACATAATACTTGAAAGTATTTTATCTTAAATTAGTATCAAATCCTAAGGATTTTCTGTAAGGTTTTTTTGTAACCTGATTTTTAAGCATGGAGATAACTTACTGTCCACATGAGCACAGGGGCTTGTGTACAAAACCAGATTCATATTGGATCCTTGCGTATGCCAACTTCTGGTGTGATATGGTTGGGAAGGATCATTTTGTTCTTTATAATGCTGCTTTTGGCAGGGTTGGGTTTTTTAATTACAAACAAACAAACTCCCTTTTCTACTTTTCTGCTTGTTTGGGTGGAAAGTGTGGTCCTTATTGCACTAAAGAAAACCTCGAGGGGAAAGTTAATCTCACGGGGTCTTTTAGGTGCCTTTGTTGCTCTCTGCTTTCTTGGTTCACTGATTTTTCTAACTAACTGGAAATGGGCTTTATAGATACACTTTTTCAACAGGTTACACTGCTTTTATTTTATGTAACAGCACTTGTGTTCAGTGGTTTTTACCATCTAAACTCTAAACAGTATTGCAGATTAAAAATACTTTTGTAAAAGAACCTGTGTACAGTTAAATGTAGCTGTATTGCAATGTTGTATGTAGTCACTTGGAAGATCACAGTTTCAAACACTGCTGTATTGATGTTGTGTTTGTTCAGGATTTTCTTTGTGTGCATCTAATGGATTTTAATATGCATGGAATTTTTTTTCCTAGTGTCTGTCAGGCTGAGATTGGAACCTTACAGTTTTATCTCTGTTTTGAGAATAACAAAACCATTTGTTTGCAGGTTTTCTTTTTCAGATGATGAAACTTCTTTCAGCAGTTTAACTTCTAATTAATAGACATTTTTACTTACAGATCCAGCAGAGACCAGATGCTAACCCTTGTTTATTCACAGCTGATCTTCTGTACCATTGCATATAATTTTATTTATAAAGGAGCTTGAATTAAGTCAACTCTCTTTTTTCCTGTGGTACCCTTTGCCTCTCTGCTATGCTTTTTCTCATTTTCATCTCATTTGCCCCCATTTTTCCATTTCCATTTGTATCCTTGTTATGTTCCTGCCCTTTTCACTCCCTGTTCATCTCTCTGCTTTTTTTTCCTGAGTGCATTGCATTCAATCTTTTGCTCTGTTTTCTGTTCTTCCAGCTCTTTTGAGGGTACTGGAACCCTACATATCCTGCCCTGAAATCCACCCTGCCATGCTTTCCTTTGCAGACTGTGGTGCCTGAAGCTGAGGTTGCTTTGATACAGGTATCACCCCTTAGCCAGGCTGCCCGTCCCAGAGCTCTGGAGAAGTGCCACTTAACACTTTTGCTTTGCAGCTTTACCCATGCTGGGGAGCGTAGACATTTCCTTTACATGCTTGAGCATTTAGCCAGGCTAAACAGGATTAACAGCTGTTTTATCCTTTTCACTTTTTCAGGAGCTCTGTTCTTGAATTCAGTGATAGTAATAGCACTTTTTGTTATTGCCACGTAGAAATACCAACACAGTCGACACGATTCTACCTCCTATTACTATTACTGAATGTGATCCTTCCTAACCTGTAAAGTCCTAAGAAGTGTACATACATATATATATATATATACACACACATATTTATCTGTATCTGGGTGTTTTGAGAATCATTTCAAATGTACTGCTCTAATCTGGATTGCAGAGTTTGTTTATTAGCAGTTCAGGATATAAATTCAGCAGCCGACTGTGTCATTCTGACTGCACTGGGAGTGAATCTGCCTCATGTTTCCTACAGCACCATCTGCACCAGGTGTGCACTGCTGATGGCTTGGGTGTAATACTGGACTATACCAAATCCTCCACGTGCATAAGAGATCTTTGTCGTACCTTTTTGAGTGAATGTAAAAATGGAAACACAAAGATGATCTCGTGTACAAGTTTTTTTACATGTATTTCCATGTTTGAAATGTGAACATGTAATGTGAACATATTTATTGTACCTATAATATGTCAATAAAACCCGATCTTTATAATTTTCTGCTTGTTGTTGCTTGATGTACGACTTCAGACTTGTCAAAAAAGGCTTCACATGCTGGATTATTTTACCATTTTTATTATGGTATCATCTCTGGGCTTACTTTTACATCAGCAGCATAGCACAGGGTTCTTCACCAGCAAAGGTGCCCCAGATGGGAACAAGAGTGGCTGAGGGTAAAAGGAACTTGTGCTTGTGTGGCTGGTTCAAAGGGTCTGGAAGATAAGAGGGGTCTCTTTTTAAAGAGATAACATACAAGGAGGAAAGCTTGTGAGTGTTAAAGCTTTTCTGGTGCTTTTTAACTATACTGACATGTCTAATGGAAGATCTCTACTTTCAAATATTGCTTATCTTAATTCATGCCATAAAGAGGAGCTCTTGGCAAGCTCAGTTTGGTAACCATCAATTACTTCCTGAACACAATTATTTCAACATAAATTGAGGCTAATTCCACTGGTCTGCTCTAGATCAAGAAAAGAGGTCAGAATCAGCTGTCTTGCACTTCATAGGGGTTTTTAAACATTATTCACAAAACTAAATGTAAAATTCCTGGCATCACTGGAAGTGGCACCTGTGATGCAGTGCGTACATTTCCAGGGAAGCATTGCTGGCTTGTCACAGTGTGTGCATTTCCAGGGAAGCATTGCTGGCTTTTCACAGTGTGTGCATTTCCAGGGAAGCATTGCTGGCTTGTCACATAATCACTGGGGTGCATCTCAGGAGAACCTCGTTACGTGGGCAGACTGGTGACACCCCAAGTCAGCCTGGTGGGCACACAGCAACCAGCAGCACAGTGACCTCAGAAGGCTCATCAGGGTTAAAAAATTGCCTCTGATTCAGTGATTCAAATAGGGAATTCAGAATAAATACATAAGAATAACCATCTTTGTGAGCAAAGTTACAACTTAGTTTTCAGCCTGTGATTTTGTCATGTATTATAAATACATAAGAATAACCATCTTTGTGAGCAAAGTTACAACTTAGTTTTCAGCCTGTGATTTTGCCATGTACAGTAGGAGCACACTGTATGTATCCCACTGCAGCATCACCTCTTCCACATCTCCTCCTTTGGACAAGGCTCCAAACTAAAGTAAAACTCACCAAAATCCCTCAAAACCCAAACTTAATGAGTCCTATCTCCTCACTTCCTTGGACCACCTTTCCCTGCCCCTCTCAGTCTGTAGTCTTGGGGCAGAAATTTGTGTTTTAGTGAAGCTGAAGCACCCCTGAGCATTGACTCCAGTTCACTCCTGCCCTACACTGAATGGATTGAACATTGCACAGCACAGGGGAAGAACAACCTCCTTTTTCAAGGGGGCAGGTGAGGATTGGGCTCAGAAGTCTGTTGGTCTTCAGAAGTTAAAGTGTTCTGATTAATTTGTAATTTTGTAAGATTGCAGGATTCATGCAGGGATGTGCTTTGGGAGCTGGAATGCTGACAGCCAGGGAGAGAGGGATGAAATCAATGTGGCTAAAAAATGGTTACTGAGGAGATGAAAAGGGAGTGACCAAGGGAGGTGCAAACAAACCTTTAAAATCAAATGTTGAGATGCCTAGTTGTGTGCTTCAAAAATTGGTCTTTATTGACCTTAATCAATTTGTAATGATTTGGGCAGGACGAGCTGGAGCGTGCTCACCAAGCGTGTTGGGAGACACATGAGGGAGGGCTCAGCTGAGGAGGAGGATCAGAGTACCTTAGAGGAACTGGATGAGCTGGAGAAGTAGAATAATAGAGGTGAGATTAAATTTAATCTTGCAAAGTGCAAAGCTATGCACTCTGGTATTAACAAATAAGGATTTTTGCTGTAAGAGTCACTGGGAAAAGAGAAAGAGCAGTGAATTAATTGCAGATATCTGAGCTATAGATGGGGTGATCTATGAGGAAAAAGACTGCTGCCTTTTTAGGCTGGATGCATCAGGCACTTCCAGAATTATTAGCATGTAGATTTGTGGCATGAAAATTTAGTGCTGGACTTCAAAAATTTTGCAATCAACCACCTCCCTACTTCCCTAAGTAGTAACACCCTGTGAATATTTATTTTGGGAAGATTTTTTGAATGGTTTATCTATCAAAGGTTTCCTCTGCTTCTTTTGCTCTGCACATTCAGCCTTTCAAAGACCAGGGCTTAAGCTACAGAAACCATCCTGAGGAACCATTCAATGAGAATTGACTGGTCACACGGTGCCACTGCTCCTTGGTTTCAGATGTCAATTCTGGTAACTGCTGAATATACATTAAATATTTTCACCCATCTGTGCTGTTCTGAAAAGATCCCAGGGGGATGTGTGCCTTCAACTGGTGAAAAATTAAAGATGCTGACCAGAAAAATTGTTCTGTGGAGATGCTTTTGGCATTGGGGATGCTGTGGGGAGAACATGGGAGTTAAGCATTTCTATTTCTTCCAATTCTAGTCCTGTATGCCACTGATTGCTACCTAATTAACAATCTTTTCATCAAATTACTGATGAGAGGATTCTCCTTTCATAAGAAGGACTTTAAGACAGCACAAGGATGGACTGAAGAGCCCCACAGCCTTTTCCAATCCTGTTTTCTAGGGTCCCAGACAAATCAGGCTGTGCCTTCTGTGGCTGTGGTGCTCCTGTACAGCAGCACACAGTCTTTGCTTGCAGTGAGCCAGTAAGAGCAGAGGGAGGGGTTTGGGACACTTTTTCCTACATTTATCTGTTCAGGGAGTCGGGTGCCTTCTGCAGCCTTCATCACCATGGATCCCACTGCAGGACCTGAGAAATGGGGAAATAGCTAAAAACTTCAGAGAAAAGAAGTGGAAGGCAGCTCCTTCATTTGTTTTGATAAGACTCAAAAGGTGTTCAGGGATTTGGGATTCCTGGCTGCTCTTTCAGGCCTCAGTCAATTCTTCATTCCTTTTTATAATTAGCTTATAAAAAATATTTTTGCTATCGTTATTAACATTATTATTGAAACTGGCACTTCTGCCAAAGAGTAGCTGGATGCAAAATCTGAGTCATGGCACTGGATACAGTTTGAGAACCCTGGCATTGTAAATATCTCCTTTTCTGTTTCTAGCCTGGACTTTGGTGTGGCAAAACCAGTCCTGGAAGCCAAATCCCAATTAACTGATGAGAAGATAATTTCTCTATATATTCTCCATGTTAAATATTGCCACAAAAAGATCTCTCTGCCAAGTGATACCCACAGTTCCTCCTGCTTTAAACCTTTCAGACTGTTTAAAGGTGCTGTCTTGTTGCAAAGGGCTTGTGTTCATTAATTTGGGTCAGGAAAATTCAAGGGTTGCATCAAAGGGGAAGATGTGGTTGTTTCCAAGTCTTCCCTGTGCTGCTGTTAATCAGCCCTATCCAGGGGGAGGATGCACTCTGCTTTTAAAGGGGTGAGGGGCAGGAGGAATGTAATCATCCCTCATCAGCCAGACCCTCAATCACTGCACTTGAAACAGCTGGGGGTGTGTAACCTCATCTTCATTTGAAAATTTTAGTACCTTTTCTCTTAGCTGCCTCCATTTTATGCCCTTTTTTTTTTTTCCCCTCATAAATTTTTATGATTTTTTTTTTTTTTAAAGAAGAATTTATGGACGAAATGGCAGAGACCGTGTGAAATGTGGAAGAGCTAAAAGGCTATCAGGGTGGTAAATGAGGCTAAATGGTTCTCTGCCACCAGCTGTGTGGAGTTCAGTGATTGAGCCTAACTGACAAGAAATAATTACCCCTCTCAGGGAGGTGAAATGGCTCCTCGCACTGTGAATGCTGCTGATGAAGGGGCTGTCCCGGAGCAGGCAGGATCCTCTCTGACAGGTTTTGTGCCACATCTTGGCAGCTTGAGCCCCGTGCCAGCATCCTGCTCCGGGGTTTTCCTGCACAGGGTGATGCCCTTCAGTGACTCAGCGCATCCCTCCTGCTCCCGGGGAGGCTCCAAACCCCGACACAACTTCTTGCAGGGATGAGTCCAGGGATGAGCAAAGATATTCCCAGCACTATTGATTAAAACTGGCAAGGGTCTCTTAGCCTGTTTTATTTCAAAGCAAGAGCCCTCGTGTTTCTTATTGCAGAGATGTGCACTAAGATCTAAAAGCACCTGGCTTTTTTTCTTCTTGTCCAATCAATTGCAAGGAACAAATATGATGAGTGCATTTGTTTGAAAGCTGGAGAGGAGGGAAGGGAACGGAAGGGAAGGAAAAAGGAAAGGAAAGGCTTGGGGTGCTCCAGTCTTAAAACTGCATCCTCACAGATTGTGCTGGAGCCTTAAAAAAACCACACACAAATCAAACCCTAAATATTTTGAGTATGCAAGAAACATGAAGTCAAGCACAAAAGCATGATGGCAAAGGCTTGAATGCCTCTATATTTCCCTGGCTTTATTAGCTCTGTCACTGGTTTGATGACAATGCAAACACTTTGGATATGTTGAAAATGATGTATCTGAAATATAATTAATTGTTATTGTGCAAGAGCCCGGCCAGGTTTGTGCTGTGCTGCCCGGGGGAAACAGGTACCATCTCAGGGCAGCTCAGGAGGGTGGGAGGAGGCTCTGCTGGCAGCTTGACAGCACTGTCCCCGTCACTGCCATCCCTCAGCTGCCCGTAGGAGATGATGACTGTGCTCACCAGATGGCTGCCGTGAGCCACCGTGGTGCGAGCAGGGCTTGGTGGAGCCTCAGCAGGGAGGGAGCAGCTCAGTGAGGCTCTGCATCAGTCCCTGTTTCACTGCTCCTCTCTTATGTGGCTGTTTCTGCTGAGACTCTGCCTCTTGAGATGAGAATTTGACCCGTGAAGTGTCCAAGGTGCTGTGGGTTGTAACAGTGAGAGCACAGTGTCACCAGTTTGGCCTCCTCCTTCCTGACTTCTCCCCCTTGGTTTGGCCTCAGAAGGATGGGGTGGGCACACAAGGTGTGAGAGATTGCTGGGCCCCAGAGGCAGCATCCTCTGAGCATCTCATACCTGGCAGCTGCTGCATCCTCGCTTTCCCCTCCTCTCATGGCTCGTAAGTGAAGCAGGTAATTTACTG